TGGCTTTTTTCGTTGTTGTTTCTTTTTTTGTCACAGCAACATTTAATTTTCTGCTCTGATATTGTGCTGAGGACATGGCTGTGGTGCACTGGCAGACGCTGATAAGTGACTTACCATTTCATACCACACGTTTACTGAATTTCATTTGACAATGTACAGTCTGGGATGACAGCCAGTCATTCAACCCATTCTTGCCTCAAACAGTGTAAAAACATGCAGACAAAAGAAGGAACACCTGGCAAATGTTTTGGGTTTAAAACAACAAGAGAGAGAGAGGTAATGGTATCCACGGTCAGGAGTGAGATAACTTGCCTCTTTACTGCATGTGTTGAAAACATTTTCAGAACATTTAGTTGCCATTTAACTACAGCCACACACAAAATGTAGAGCAATAAAGCAAGCAGACAGGAGAACTGAGGCAGACACGACACAAAGCCCAGTCTGTGTTGCTGGGCAGGAGCCCTGGTCCCACCCCACCAAACTCACTGAAGGCTGCGATCCCAGGCTGGAAGCTGGCCCTGGAGACGGCAGCTCCTGTGACAGTGTTGTGTTCCTGGGCGTTTCAGTGCTTGCTTTCCTCCCTGACTCAGAGTAATGTGAGCTGCCCTTGAAGATGAATTTAGCTTGGAAGGTGGCCCTGTGGTTCTGTGAAACACCCGTTACTCATTGCGATGGCAGATGATGTGGTTTCCTTGAGAAAACAGTGTGGCAGAGGACTTTGACTAAAGAACTAGGAATACTGCAGACTGGGTTTCTAGTGCTGACTAACAGGGGTTGTCTGTGGGCTGTGAAATGATTTTTTTCTTTCAATGCATCAGCTTTGTTATTTTTTTTTGTGTTCAATATTTGTATTGTTTAGAAAATTGATATGTTTGTGTTTTTTAGTTCTTTTGCGAAAAGGAATCATGACAAGGTGTTTATATGTCTCAACATTTAATCATGGCACAGAGGATAATTCAGCACAACTAAGATACAGTCTAGATCACTTTTTTGAGGTAGTATTGACAAAGAGCTGGGATGCAGGGAAGTGATTGCTTTACTCAGATCAGAGATGCCACTGATTCTGCTTTGAATTTTATCTCTGAGGAGGGAGATTAAATTGTTCTCCTCAGATCCTTGTGTTGCTTGGATTTAGTGCGTGTGTTAAGTCAGTGTACCCAAGCCTTGGAGGAACTATGGAAAACAATTTGACCATGCTAAAGCAGATGTGAAGTTTCACTTTGTGTTTTAGTCAACATTTGAACTGTAAAAACAACCGAGAAGTGATACTTGGAAGCGTGTGCTCAGGAGGACATGGCCATCACCGAGGTACCTGTTACACTGTGAGGTCGAGTGGCTTTCTCTGATCTCTGAGGTTGCCAGGCTGTGCCAGAATAAGACTGTTGTGATGCAGAGGCTCCTGAAGGACCTGTGGCCACCCATCATACCATGTTTCTCATGGCAGCCCTGCCTTCACCCTGCCTTGTGCTCAGCAGGGTCACAGCCATGGGCTGAGCTTTGGAGGCTGCAGGTTTTCTGCTCTCTCTCTGTATGCAGTGGAAGGGAACAGCATAGTGACAGAATTTTGCTCAGCTTTGGGATTTTGATGGGGTTTTTGTTTGTTTTCAAGGAGACAAATGCTATTTTGCACCTTGTTTCAGCTGAGTTTTACTTAGTGCTAACCTGGTTTGTTTAATTGTTTCACCACCAACCGTATTTTTTTCTTTTTTAGTATTTTGGTTCTGATTAAACCTAAATAAGTCAATTGTGTAGCTTATGATTACTTCAAAGATACATAGATCAGACTTTTTGTTCTCAGATCACTCAATTAGAACACAATTAATCCTCGCTCAGTTTCTAATTTGAAATGAGCATTGCTGATATTCTTGACTGCAGTAAGATCTCTTGAAGAATCACATGTTGATTATGTGGACACCAGGCCCTGATTTTTCAGAAGTGCTCGGCACAATCAGTGTGTACTAGAATTGATAGAATTAGGAATATTGTCTGTTTGTGAATTTAAATGAGAAATTAAAAAATTTAAAAAGACAAAATATGGGCAGTATTTCAGATGCACAGTTCTCCAATTTTCACTATGGTTTTAAGAGACTGCTTCTTAAATGCTAAATTTTCCAGCTTCTGGTGAAACCCTTAATGCAGCTAATAATTGAAATAAGGCATCATTTCCTCAGCATTTTCCCCCAAACCAATACTGGTGACTATATCAAAAATAAAATCTTGTTCCTGATGTAAAAAGCCAGATGTAGTCCATCAAGACAGTCCTCATTGTGTTTAAGCTTCCAAATAATAAAGCAATTTGCAGGAGGCCTCGGAGCGCGTCGTGTCCCGCGATCCGTCGGGCCTGTCCTTCCGCCTGCTGATCCTTTATTGTGGGACAGGTGATTTACTCCTCTGAACTTCAGAGCTCAGCAGATTTGCAGGTACTGCCGTTGAAGTTTTAATTTAGGCAGAGATGCTCATAAAGAAGTGCTCAGATGTTCAGATGTGAATCCAATTTTATGTCCCTGGCAAGTTCAATAGTGTTCGGCTTCTGCTTTTGATTCATTTAAACGGGTTTATGAAGAAGAAGCAGCATATTAAGCTTTTATCTCTCTCATATATACACCAGTGTGTGTGCATGCTCCCTAGTTAGTACTTTTTATATATATAAGCTCTTATATGTTTTAATATAAACTGTATAATATCTATATGACATTAATATTGGTATTTGTTTTATTTTTCTATATTAAAGGCTACGTTCATCTTGTGCCAGATTTCAGAGGTTTTGCAGCTGCAGTGTATGTTCAGTTACCTCTGCACAGCTCATTTTGCACAGTATCTTATATTTATTGTGTGGGAACTGAGTCTTGAGGCGGATTAAATTAATTTGCGGTAACTTGAATTCAGCCCTTGCTTCTTTAATCTTACAGAAATGCTATTTATTGATGTGCTCTTGCCTCACTTTTAAGAACAGCCTCTATGATTTTGTGGTGACAAGATTTAGAGTCTTTATTTAGCTGGCATTACCGTGGCTCTCAGAACAAAACTGTTTTGTTTATGTGGGTAGGACTTTGCCATACTTATCCTCAAGAAGGAAAAGCTGCATCTAAAGTAACTTGAGAAAACACGAAGCACATGAATCTTTTGAAGTAACTTTCAACACAAGGGCACTCTTTTGTATTTTATCACTCATAGATATCCACTTATTGAAATCCAAACATGCTTTGTTTAAAGTCAGAACACAGACTAGGAGAGTAATTCCACTTAAGCTTCTGTGCGTGTGGATATTGTCCAAACACATTTTCTTCCTGCTGTGTCTTACTCCACATGCTGTTGTGGAATGGCCCAGGACCTAGTGTAGATTTGCTGTTCTTGGAGGTCCAAATGGGGATTTTAAACATAAAACTTTCTAGTTTAAATAGTCTCTTTCAAACTTAGATAAGACATAGCCAAAGCAATGGTAGTGAGGAGAGAGCACATATGGCAGCCCTAAAATTTAGGATGTGTTCATGAAAGGCAACAGATATTCAAAAAAGAGAAAGAAACTGCTGTGTGAATTTGAGGCAACATGTTGAGGATGCAGAATTTAGTATAATTCACTATTTAAAGTTTCTTGTCAGAGGACAGCTTTCACTTTACCTTGCACAAGTCCCAGTAAACCTGCCTGCTCTTCATCAGCCTGTGCTTCCCCAGGCCCACAGAAGCACCTAGGAAAAGTAATGACCTCTCTCCAACAAACTCTGTTCTCCTTCTGTTATTTTGTGTGTTGGATGTTTGTTGGTTTTTTTTAATAAATATTTGCCTTAATTAGCTTACAGTTAATTAATCAGTTCAGCGGTTTTTCTATACTTCTTTGTTTCATATCAAAAAAAGATCAGTCTTGCTGCAAATGGTTTCCCCTTGTGATGTTTTCTTTTATTATTTGATTCATTAAGTACAGAATTTGCTTCAGTTCCTGAAAACAAACACACATCATTAGTTATCATTTCTGTAATATCTACTGATTAATGTTTGCTAGAAAACTACAACTTGATACAATGTCTAGAGCATGTGGTTCATAACACAGTGTTTATTTTCTTTATTCTCTTTAGCTATTTTCATTAGACATAAATCATTGCAGTGTGTGGAATTGCACTTAAATGCAGTTTAAAAGTTTGTTTAGAAAAGTGCCTATGTTTAGAATGACACCTGCTTATTCAATTTTCTTCTTATGTGCCTTTATTTTTATCCACTTGCCTTAATGATTAGAAAAAATATTTCTCATTATCCATGCAAACATGCCAGTACTCAAAGAACGAGAAGTTTATATCCTTCTTTATCACTAAAAATATAATCTGTCATTTTTCAATGAAAGAGGCTGAAGCAGTAGCATAATTTTCAGATCTTGCTGTGTGTTTGTGGCATTACTAAACAGAAGAATACAGGCCAAATCCTGATCACATGAAAGATATCATCACTGCATTGTTGCTGTCTTTTCATATTTGGAGTTTAATCTTCTTGCGCTGGCACAAATCCTGTTCATTTGAAGCTGATTGGTAAAATAACAGTGAATGAAAAGAGATTGAGATCTCTGGCTAAATTTGATAGAAGCCTAAAGACCGTATTCTCAGTAAGTATTTTTAATCCATTAAGGTTCATCTCCTAAAAGTCCCTGATAGAAACAGGGAGGAAAAAAGTTCCTCTGGGTAGATGTAGAGAATGATCAAGGCAAGACTGCTGTCCTCTGCTCCAGAGAGGAGACTTTCTCCAGGGAGAATCCATAAAGAAGTATTTTTAAATCTAAATACGGTCTTTGTCAACATCCCAGTTGTGCAGCCTGGAAACACTGTTTTATGTTGCTGATCTCAAATAATCACTGATCTGTTTAACCATGTTTTGATGCCTCCAGGTCTAAGAGGCATGCAGGCTTGGCTTCCTGTTTGCAGGGTTTGACTCTTCTCCCAGGCAGTGTTCTCTAGAAAATGCCGAGGAGAGTGGTACCATCACACACATTTGTGATTCGTTTTTCTCTTCTGTTTTAGGCCCTTCAAACCACCACAGCCAGTCAACGTTGAGGCCACCTCTCCCTCCTCCTCACAACCATTCCCTGTCCCATCACCATTCCTCCGCCAACTCCCTCAACAGGAACTCGCTCACCAACCGCCGGAACCAGATCCACGCGCCCGCCCCGGCGCCCAACGACCTGGCCACCACCCCCGAGTCCGTGCAGCTCCAGGACAGCTGGGTGCTCAACAGCAACGTCCCGCTCGAGACCAGGTGGGTGCTGTGATGGACACCCCGGGAGGTGCCTCTGGAGCACCCTGGGTTTGTCAGGAGCGGGGTTTGGGGTGCTCTGTGTCACTGGTGGCTTCGGCTGACGCAGCACTGGGAGTCGGTGGCGTTAGAAGGCCCACCAGCCCCAATTTGCTTTGCTTTCCAAGGTAGGCAGGTGAACATCTCTTGTTCACATCCCATTTTAAAGCCTTTTGGACCGTCCCTGCAAACACAGCTCATGAGGTTAGTGCAGCATATTTATATCGTGGGCTCAGGGACAATTTACTTAGAATTCATATTGACTGTGCAGCTGAAAAATTATGCATTTTTCCTTTCCTGAGGTAACAAACAGAGGCTCACTTGACATTATGCATTTTGGGAGACTCAGAGAAACAATCCCAGATTCAAGACTGACAGTACTATAATTTTAATTTATACCTCATCCAGCATGTGAGTTCATTTTAATCTCTTCTGTACATGTTAGCAGTTTGATGCCTGTGGGGCAAACAGTGGCATATAAATGAAAAGGTGCAGCACTTAGGCCTGACAGAGAAATATATAAATAAGTGCCTGACATGCTGCTGGTCCAAATATTCTGGTTTGTTGTCATTTGGGGTATGGAATGTCAAACATATTTAACTTGCACTTTAAATAGCAGAGCTGGCAGAGCTGAGCTCTCAGAATTTAAAATTGGCCGTGGTGGTGCTGAGTAAAGTGCTTGGAATAGCAGGGTGGTGTTGCTTGCCCAGATAGTGATAAACACAGAGTACAGGTGGAGGAGCTGGGCTCCTGGCACCACTGCCTTGTACTGGGGTTTCAGCTGCTTGGTTGCCACAGCTTCTGAGATGTTACATTTGGCTTGCAGCCTTCTGGGAATTTAGTGCCACTCTGCTGGGTTACACCCTGAGTAGCTACATATGGTGTAGTTATACACCATGCAGCCTCAGCCCAGGCACTCCAAAAATTTGATTAAAGACTGTCATCTGGTTTGGAGCTCTGGGAGGAGCTGCTATAGCTGGATTGGAGTTACAGCACCCAGGCTGTTGTTACTCAGTAGTTAATCAGTGGTTATTCCTCCATGGGGAGCAGGTGAGAATGGAAAGAGCAGGGAGTCTGTGCTCCTGGGCTGGGCTGGGAGGTGCACAGGGGGCTGCACTCACATTGCCCTGCTTTGCTAAAATGGGAACATGAGTGCCATGAAGAAGTGGGGTGCTAAAAAGCAAATGCAAGTTATCCAAAGCCTAGATGGCCAAAAAAAGAAAGGAAAGGGATTCTTGCTTGCTGAAGGTTTGGAGCTAACTTTGGCCAGGAAAAAAAAGTGATGCTCAACTCTTAACTGCTGCTCCTGTGAGAGCCTCTGCTACTTTTTAGAACTTAACTTGGGCACCCTGAACTTGTTATTTATTGTTAAGAATTACAAGATAAAAATGTCGGTCCTGTTCATCCTGGGCCAGTTCTTCCTGTTTTAATTTTGGTGTAGAGTGGTCCCAGCTGCACCTGGTCTGCCTGTTTCCATTTGAAATTGTTCTTGGGTACAGCAGTTCCAGAAATGTGTCATTTCTGAAGTCTTAAGATTGTCCCAATTTAACAATCACTTTGCACGGATGGAATTTTTTGAGATATTCACAAATGGATTCTTTGCCATAATACTGGCAATCCATGAGCCACAGCAGGGGACATTTGCGTGGCTGGTTTTATTTTACTGCCTGATTTTGTGCCTGTTCCCTGACAGTGGTGACTGTCAGTTCCATTAGTGACTTTGGTTCTTCTCCTTTTTTTTTTTTTCAGTCATGAAAACTGGGAATATAGATGTACATGTTGATGACAAAAGGTTACTTTGTGAATACTGTTATTTTTGGAGGTTGCAGGATGCCCTGCAGTTAATTGGAGCCTTTTGGTAGATAGGTTTGTCACAGGCAAGCATTAAGCTATTAGAAAATGTCCTGGCAGAATTGCTGTGTTCCAAGACTATTCCAGAGTTGCTTCAGGATCGATTTTTCTTCTTTTCTGAAATTACACACCTGACAGGGCTTGATGACAAGTTTCATCACAAGAATATTAACTCAGAAGATGACTATTTTTTTTCTGTTTGCAGTGAGTTGTGCTGAAATGGATGCTTGTAAAATCATTGGAGACTTTCAGAATTAGCCTGTAATTCTTTCACTTTAAAACTGGCATTTCATCTACATTCATACCAATATCCTCCAAAAAAAAGGACACCTTTTTGGTAACTTTTTATTTCAGCCTTTATAGCTTTAGCTTGTTGCAAAACACTGACCCCTCTCATCCCGCCTCTTGACAGCGCACTGCTTTTTAATTTTTATCTTGTTGTCTGTTTATTAACCTCAGTAGTGGAGTGCTCAGGAGGAAAAGCCAGCACTGACAGCACCTGCTTTATCAGGAGAGCGTTTCATAACTTTTAGTTTTCATCTTTCGGTTACCTTCAGCAGATTCTGCTCTCAACTGAAAATGATGTGCGAGTAGTCACGTTACTGATTATGAAACAAAAAGGGGTACCCGAACCATCTGAAGGGAATGCTTTGTGTCAGTACGACAAAACTCAGCTCACAATTTAGATTCCAGATGTCTCTTTATCTAACAGTACCGAGTGCTGAAATCATTGAATAATACAACATGTGTCTGCATGTTGTTATTTTGTTTGTGGTAAGAATATTTTAACCTTCCCTTCGTTCCTTTGCTGTCTTAGGCAGCTTGGTCTGAATTCGGACTGTTTGGAGACATCACATTTTCCAAATATATCCTTTCTTCATCTCTTGTTTCAGTTTTGATGGGGGATTTTTAATCATATTTGTTTTATTTTCTTTGTGATGTAAAGGAAGCTTTTACTGCCTGCACATGTTTTCATGTGTCCTCTTCAGGCAACTCTACCCAAATCTCTGTGTACCCTTTGTGGTGCTCTATTTTTTACGTAATTATGCTGAGCTGTATTGCAGCAGCTCATCGCTTTCAGTGGAGTTACAAGTTTGCAAAATGCCTATACAGAGTTCCTAATTACACATTTTTAGAGTCACAGAACGGTTTGGATTGGAAGAAGCTTTAAGGATCATTGTAGACAGGGTCACCTGTCACAAGTTGCTCAAAGATCTGACCAACCTGGCCTGGAACACTTGCAGTGATGTGTGCTTGATTTTAGTGTGCTCGTTGCTGGTCTGAGGCAATCAGATATGGACTGCATCTTCCCTAGTCTGCTGCTGCTTTATGGCTGCAAGGGGCCCCCTGGCTGGCTACATAATTGTTCTGTTTTCTTTGAAATAAGGGTCTGTAATGGAAGGGTTGAAATATCCCTAAGTAAGGCTGCAGTAATGCATCGCCGTAGCATTTTTATGGTGCTATTTTTATGGTTCGTTTCTGCAGTATTTAGCTGCCTTACCTTTACACTCGGAGCTGCTGTTTAATGCTCTTTAACTTTTATTGTCCTCCTTGCAGTCTTGTTTCAAACCTCCTCCTCCTGCTAACAAAGTGCTGGTTTCTGCCTTTTCCAGTTAAGAGGTGTCCCTTTATTGCTGCTTTAATCATTGCTTTCGAAGGGGATTTGTGATGGAAATACTGCCTTTGAACGTCCCGGTGTGAGTCTCGTTACTGCCAGACAGCCAGAGAGGCAGCACCTGCTTTAAAGCTGGAAATGCTTTGAGGGCACGGGGAGAAAAGAATGGCTTTGCAAGGGAGGTTCACGTGGCCCTTTACACTGCAGGAGTCCTCTGGGGCAGGAACCTCACACAGGCACCGGTCCAAAGGGAACGACTGGTGAGGGAGAACAGAGGAGCTTTCATGGACAGATGTTTGGGATTGCCTCACGTACTAATACCTGTTTCCATACTTTATATTGATGTTAAATCAATTGGTACGATTGTGATTAATAATACTTAATCCAGGAGGGAAAAAAAAGTAGAATTAAATAGAAATCAGTCTTATTCTTTAGTCTCATAATTAGTCTCATAATTTGAAATACTTTCAGTCCAAATCTTGTAAAGATAATTTTGTATCTATGTCTGTAATTTCTTTGAGCTTGTTCACAAGGATCTGTTGCTAGGCTTTGAGGAAGACTGTTACGTCCTAATGTTTCTCCTGTGTTTCAAGAGAAAGGATGATGGTCACTGATTCTGGTGATTATCAGTTTCTCTCAATCTTGTGGGCTGTAGTGTAAGACCAATAGTCCAGATCTGGGGTCATTTAAGCAAAGTTCAGTTTAAAAATTGAGCAATCTGAAAATTAACCTGAAATCTGAAAAAAAATTGAGCAATCTGAAAATTAACTTCCATGACCCTTAAAAGAACCCCCATGTTGCTCTTATAAATATTTGCCTTTTTCTGTGGTTCAAGCTGTATTTGTTACTTTGCCAGTCCAATTCCAACACAGTCACTGTGAGCCTGAGGACAGCAATGGGAAATTAGTGGATGGAATAGCAATATGAGCTGTATCCCAGTCTGCACCAGGGCAGTGCCTGAACTCATAATCGTGGGGCACCAGAACAGGGAAACATGTGCACCCAGTGTTTTTGTAGCTGCAGCCTTCCAGTGAAGGAATGAACACTGTGCCTGTGCACTGGGTATGGCAGTGTGGCAAAAAAGCCAGGAATAGAGCACATAAGAAGGATTTAATGCTGCAAGGGGATGGGTATTAGTTTTTTTCAAGAAGGAAGCGAATGGTCTGTAGTGTTGTTAATACTGCACTCACATGCTGTCCCATGTTTGGGTGTCAAGATCAGCTGCAGAACTTCTGAACTGAATATATAAACTTGAAGTTCTGCCTGTGTCGAAGTTCCAAGCTACAGCTGCTCTCCACAATTGTCTGCCTATTTTCAGTGGTGTCTCAATATTTTGATATCTTTGTACATGATGCAAAATGTTCTGGAACAGAAGAGTGAAACAAAAATTCTTCTCCTTTTGTTAATGCAAATTTCTAGGATATATTGGGCATAACAAGCAACTACTTGGAACAGTGAAGTAACTCCTCACTCTGATTTTGCTTTGTCTTATGTGGCT